AACATCACTTGGAGGTGGGAGATACTTCCAATGTAATCTATCAAATCCCCTACATGGATTGCCCTTGTGCTTATGTAGGACAGACAGGGAGAAAGCTAATCACCAGTTTGCAAGAATACAAGCGAGCGGTCACACGAGAAGACCTAAACTCATTGGTAGCCTCACACTGTAACAAACAAGGACATACATTCAATTTTGCAGCTACCAAGATTGTTGGACGAGCAGGCACAAAAACAGCCAGGGAAGTGATTGAAGTCTGGGAAAGGTGGTAAATCAGGAGAGCTGATTTACCACCAGCCTATCAAGTACTTAAAGGGCTATGGCTGGGCAGCTAATAACAGCTAATGACTTAAAAGCTGGCCATCAACATACCCCAATCAACATCTAAAAAGCCACTTACAACAGGCACTATAAACACTACACATAGAACAGCACATCTTCTGCTAGAGAGAAGCTCCCTGAGGATGGGCTCCAGCAAAAGTCTGAAAGCTCAGAAGACAAAAACGTCTGGTCCCGGTGACCGACCCAGATTGGATCCTGCAACTTTCTCCCGGAACACATATATTCACCTTTATTTGTAATAAACATTTATTTAATGTAATTCTAATTATATTTTAAAATAATTGTATGAAATCTTTCAGGGTTGCAGCACTCTCTTTCACCTGGTTCTTGGTACTCGACCCATAATCAAATGGTTCGAGAAATGTAATGTGGCCCAGCCCTGTAAAATTAATTTTAAAAATCTCTTTTCTAGTCTCTACCGAAATAATGAGGGCGAGAAACTTTAAAACTTTACTGCATCCTTCTACTCGACACCTTGATTCTGGATTCTATGATTAATGCTAGACTAATAAACGGAAATCAACCAATGCTCCTCCCCCAATCCTTTCATCTGGTAGGAAATATACTCTCGGTATTTTTTCATAAAGTCTACCAAAGGTGACCTTCCAAAATATCTGAGCGGCACCAGTCATTTATACTTTAAGTTGATCTTTAGACACATAGAATGCATACCCAATAAAGGTCACTCATGTTCCCCCGGCATCATTTTTCAGTACCGTGTACCATCCAGTTCCTTGTCTTCTAAACTCCTAGCTGAGCAGAGCTCAGCCATCTCAAGGAATAAAACTTTATTTTGCAAGAATGCTGAATCCAGAGACTCAGACTAGTAAGAACAGTTGAAAATCCCTGAAGTGTCACTCAAAACTTTACTATATCCAGCTCAAACTGGAATCCCTGGAAAGCCAACCACATTACATAAGAGATAATAAATGCACCATTAAAATAAAAACTTATTAAAATTCACAGCATTCGGTCCATTTATGTCACCGGAGTGTATTCTATTTTATAGGGTAATAATAAACAGATACATTTCGTTTAAATTACCATTAATCAAACCCTATTTTTTTTCTTATGAGGTGGTCAGTATTTTACATTGAAAAACCTACAGATGATCAGTTTTATGCTACTTCTGGAAGGGTCACAATGTTTACCTTTGGCAATAAACATAATAAAACATTTTAACATAAAAATGGGCAACTCATACTTCTCCATATTCTGCTCCTATCAACTCTAGCTTATCGAATCTCATATCTTTTTGGAGGTAGTAAATTTCTCATCCATATCTTAAAGGCTAATAGCTTCTAAACCAGTGGTTCTCAACCTTTTTAATGCCTCGACCCCCAATCGGTCGTAAGTCGAGGACTACTCAACCAGTTGTAAGTCAAGGACTACTCAACTAGTGCAGCACCGTTTGCAGAATGGGACTTTTGGCGGGCTCAGCAGGGCAGAGACAGCCTGGACAATTCCTATTGGCTTTTGAAAGCCAATAGAATTAGACTCTATTCAAGAGAGTCTATTCTATTGGCTTTCAAAAGCCAATAGAATAAAAGGGAGTAGCACAGCTAAGTAAAAGGGGGAAAAAATGGCGGACTGCATTGTTTGGCGACCCCCGTGAAATGGTCGTTCGACCCCAAATGGGGTCCCGACCCACAGGTTGAGAACCACTGTTCTAAACATTTTCCAACTAGAATTCAACAGATACAGTACAATTCTTATTTGGTGCACAGACTGTGGCATAGTAACTGAAAATATTAGTTTGTACTTCTTACATTTCGTGGAATATTCATTTGTACATGGAGATTAGTGAGTAGTAGTGGCTAGTTCACAGGACCGATACAAGGAGAAAAAGAGGTACTGGTTGTCACCTTCAAAACCCTACATCAAAGGCCCCCAACCTCTGGGGACTAGTTCCATGGACAGAGGTTTTTCCATGGACCAGAGGGGACGTGGTTTCATGTGCTCCTGTATCCCGTGGATGGGGCTTTGCTTGTTTGTGTGGACCGGTTGCTGGCATGTTGTGGCCCGGTACTGGTCCATGGACCGGGGGTTGGGGACCCCTGCCCTACATGGCTCAGGATATTTGAAGGGACAGTTTTTCCCAGTCACATCTACCTCACCCACCAGGGTAGGGAGGCAGGGAATGTTACCGGCTCCTTCTCCTAAGGAGGTCCATCTAGCAGGATCAAGAAGAAAGGCCTCCCTGGTGGTTCCCTCCCTGTGGAACATCATCTCTATAGAGCAGACATGTCAAACTCACGACATCACGTGACGTTGCAAAACGTATCGGGACAGTTTTGCCATTGCCGGCAATGGGATGGGTGTGGCTTCCGGATGATGCCTCCAGCCTGTGGGCCGGCAGTTTGACACCCCTGCTATAGAGATAAGACTAGCCTCCATTTTGACACTCTTTTGCAAGGTCCTGAAGACCTGGTTTTGTGCCAACAGGCCTGGGACCCCATAGTGGGATGCAGGCCATCAAATGGCTCATTTGATTATTGTTGACAGGAGGGGGGGTTATTCCTTTTTTATTGTTTTTATGTTGGGTTTTTATACTTATTAGCCACCTGGAATCTCTCAGAGTGAATATATTTTGCCCTACGTATCTTGAGGAAAAATGAAATTCAGATGGTAATATTTTCCAAAGCGCCTGAGGGCAGGATAAGAAGCAATGGATGGAAACCAATTAAGGAGAGAAGCAACCTAGAACTAAGGAGAAACTTCCTGACAGTTAGAACAATTAACCAGTGGAACAACCTGCCTCCAGAAGTGGTGAATGCTCCAACACTAGAAGTTTTTAAGAAGAGACTGGACTGCCATCTCTCTGAAATGATGTAGGGTTTCCTGCCTGCCTGAGCAGGAGTTGGACTCGATTACTTCCAAGGTCCCTTCCAACTTTATTATTATTATTATAAATAGGAGCCTATATAAGTGTGTACCAAAATTAGTGAAGAAGTCTTGAAGAAGTCAAAATGCTCTTTATGATTAACATAAAAAAGCATACAGAGCCTCACAAGGTTGCTTAGAACTGAGGCCTTTTTAGAACTTCCAGGAGCCATCTAGTAAATATCCTATCATGCTGTGAAAACAGTCATGAAAAGCAAGGTCAAGGAGATGGTGACTCACTGTGGGGAGATCGCCAACATGAAAGGCTAGAAGACTTCTGCACCAAGGAGTTGGGGGGGGGGTAATTCAAAAGCAAGAATGGAAAGACTTATAGCTGGTGGTTAGGAAGCTATCATGGCTGTAAAGAAAAAGGTATTTAAAGACATTGACTAAAAAAGAGGTCCCAGGTTTTGCATCTGCCATATTCATTGTTTTTTCTTTCTTTGCATTTATAGACAATCATTCATAAACAGTAAGCAAGCATTAACGTAGCAGGAAATTGTCATGATTGTACCATGTAGAAGTTCTAAAAACAGTTACACCTCGATTGAAACATTTGCCTGCAAACAACTCTGTATCTACAGAATAACAGAGTTGAAAGAGGCTTGGAGGGCCTCAAGCATGTCACCTTATACAGACATGTCGCGAAGTGATTTCATGTGGCCCGCGAAGCCATCCTGGAAACAGTGAGGGAACGGCCCCCACTGCCTTGTCCCTAGCCCAGGTCAGCCGGGAGCCAATGTACAATTTTGTGGTGGCCATCTATGCTGAAACGCATTCAGTCTTAGCTCCACAAGGCTGTCTGAAAACAGCGAGGAACCAGCTCCTGCTGCATCAGCCCCACCCCCTGGTGCATGCTGGGGAGGTGTCACCCTTTGTGAGGAATGAAGAAATGCAGCATTGTCTGGAAGTGGCCAGCAAATGGCCCTCACCTACTTCACATATCCAGCTTGATGGGCTCTGCCCTGGTCCCACCTCTTTCTGCCAGAGACCCTCAGATCTGTCCCACTCCTGCCCAGGCGTCCACAGGCACCCTTGACGCGAATGATGTAGAGCTGGCCACTCCCACCCAGTAGGCCACACCCACTCCATCCACGCCCATCCAGTAGGCTGCACCCACCCTGGCCACACCTACCTGCCGCCCCCGAGGGCAACCGCAATGCTGATGTGGCCCTCAATGAAATTGAGTTTGACACACCTGCCTTATACCATTGCAGACAAATGGATTTCCAGTCTCTTCTTATATGAAGGAGTTTCATGCAATGGGTCTTCCAGCTAATGCAGACATCCCAACTGTTACACACATGCTACTGTCAGGACAAAAATACCCCACTTACCATGCAAAATATTAACAAGCAGAGGTGAATGGGGTGAGCTCAGGATCAGAATTGGAGGAAATGCTCATCTTTTGTATATGTTTAGGGTATACATGAATTAATGAATGTACAATATAGTTATATGCAAACATTTAGGGTACCTATGACCAAATTGGGTTCAATTAATCTTTTAATACACCTATCTTTACAGAGTAAAAGCAAATAACCCAATCAGAGTGTAACAAGGTTAAATATGCATCATGTTCTATAAAAGAAAGCCATCTGATTACTTTAATCCCACTCCAAATTAAGCTGTAGGAGTGGCACATAAATGTTCCAAGAATTAAAGCTAATCAACTGCTTTCATTCTTTAATACCAAACTAAAAATTGGACTGAAGTCTCAAGAACTCAAGCACACACTGGGGGCTACTGGAGACAAGAGGAAAAGTTGGCACTACCTTTTCTGCCAGCCAACCCAAATGCCTAATTTCTCGGCCTCCAGCAATTCCTGCTTTGCCCAGTTGATCTTTGACCTCTGAGATGACTTTAGGAATGAGCTCACTGATACAGGAGTGGATAGCATAGAACCAGGCCTGGGCGGTGCTTGCGTCTTTACTCCTTAGCACCAAGATGTGCTTGGCGTCTGGTGAATGAACTTCAACAATCCTGTAGAAGAAAAATAAATAAATACAATAAATAGGAAAAGAGGGGAGAGTTACATATATTCTCAAAGTTCCAGTCCGATTACCGGATTTGTAGGTGTAGAAATGTGAAAAATTACCATGCTAGAGATGGGGAACCTGTAGTCCATTGAGTAAAATCAAACTTAACATAGCTAGTGAAATGGGCTCCTGTCAGGTAGCACATAGCAATAGCATTTAGACTTATATAGCGCTTTGTGGTGCTTTACAGCCTCTGTAAGCGGTTTACAGAGTCAGCATATTGCCCCCAACAATCTGGGTTCTCATTTTACCGGCCTGGGAAGGATGGATTCAACCTTGAGCCCCATTAGCATTGAACTCCAGGCTGTGAGCAGAGTTATCCTGCAATACTGCACTCTAATCACCGCATTGCCAGGGCTCCCTATAAGGCAGTGGTTCTCAACCTTTTTAATGCCGCGACCCCCAACCGGTCGTAAGTTGAGGACTAAACCAGTCGTAAATCGAGGACTAAACTGGTCGTAAGTTGAGGACTACCCAACCAGTTGTAAGTTGAGGACTTTCCCTGCCCGGGACCGCCATGCATGCGTGGTGCCGCCCCCTGTGCCGGCTGAGCCGTAGCTGGCAAGCGGCAGAGACGGAGCAGGCTGACCACCGGCTGGGCCACCAGCTGGCCCAGCCCAAGGGAGGTAAGGCACCTGCCGGAAAAGGGGAAAAAATGGCAGACAGCCTTGCTTGGCGACCCCTGTGAAATGGTCGATCGACCCCAAATGGGGTCGCGACCCATAGGTGGAGAACCACTGCTATAAGCTTGGCATTCCACTGCAGTTCCATTTCACCTGTTCCTCATCATCAGTCTTCAATATGGCATGGGATGTAAAAAACAGAACAAAACAGTGGATTGCTGAAGGTTTGCCCAGTCTACCTGTAACCCATCTTTCCTTTGTCTATGGAGATTCTCAGTCATCCAGGTCACGGTTGTCCCAAAGGTGCTTTTTTAAAAAGGCAACTGGACTTGGTTTTGGTTTTTTTCTTTGAAGGCATTTCGCTTCTCATCTGAGAAGCTTCTTCAGTTCTGGAACTGAAGAAATGAAGAAGCTTCTTGGATGAGAAGTGAAGCATCTTCAAAGGAAAACAAAAACTAAAGTCCTTGGCCTTTTGAAAAAGCACTTTTGGGCCCTCTTTCCCTTCCATTACTTCCAAGAAGAGAGCTAAAGCCACTGTCTTCCCTACATAGGAAAGGACAGCTTGTCCAATGGCAGAAAATGTTTACTGGAGAAAGATGTATTCTTTTGGAAGCCAAACATGACGAAGGATGCTTGTTCTGTTCTTTCTCCACGGAGTGGCAACATCAAGCAGCAGAATCAACTGACACCACAGGATTGGATCAGTGAAGCTCAATCTTCTCATGTCATCCAATCTGGGCGATCAAGTCCACAAATGGCCCTGAAATGTCACCATCCATTCATCTAACCCAGTGTTTCTGAACCTTGACAATTTTAAGGCATGTGGACTTCAACTCCCAGAATTCCACAGCCAGCAATGCTGGCTGTGGAATTCTGGGAGTTGAAGTCCACATGCCTTAAAATTGTCAAGGTTCAGAAACACTGATCTAACCCAGCTGCAAAGTATCCCAAAGGTGCTTTTTCAGGAGGCAACTGGACTTTCTTGTTTTTCTCTGATTCTGAAGAAGCTTCTTGGATGAGAAGTGAAACGTCTTCAAAGAAAAACAAGAAAGTCCAGTTGCCTCGTGAATAAAGCACCTTTGGGACAACCATGACCTGGATGACTGAGAATCTCCATAAACATTCAGCTGAAAAGTACCTGAAAAAAACTGAACAGCTTAACAGAGGAAGAACTGTTACACAATGGGGGCATGAGTTACACAATTCCTAACGCCACTGGTTAAAGAGGAGCAAAGAGCTTTGTGGGAACTGTTTTTTTTTTCTATACAAGACCCTGGAGACTCAGTGCTAATTAAAGAAATGAAAACCGGGCAGCTATAGGTAGTCCTCGACTTACAACACTTCCTTTAGTGACTGAAAAAAGTGACTTATAACCGTTTTTCACACAATCACTGCGGCATCCCCATAGTCCTGTGATCAAAATTCAAACACTTGGCAACTGGCAAGGTATTGATGACGGTTGCAGTGTTCCGGGGACATGTGACATCTTTTGCAATTTTCTGACAAGCAAAGTCAATGGGGAAGCCAGATTCATTTAACAACCATGTTACTCACTTAACAACTGCAGTGGTTCACTTAACAATTGCGGCAAGAAAGGTCTTAAAACGGAGCAAAATTCACTTAATAAATATCTCACTTAGCAACAGAAATTTTGGGCTAAATTGTGGTGTTAAGTTGAAGACCAACTGAGGGGAATAGAGCTTAATTTAAGAGTTTCCATATTGGTGATCAGTATGACGTAGTGGTTAAGATATTGGTCTAGGACAGGGGTAGGCAACCTTGGCTCTTTTATGACTCATGGACTTCAACTCCCAGAATTCTTGAGCCAGCCTGAGAGGAAAGGGAGAGGTTTCCAAGCTGAGCCATGCTGGCTCAGGAATTCTGGGAGTTGAAGTCCACGAGTCATAAAAGAGCCAAGGTTGCCTACCCCTGTTCTAGGAGATGAGGGATCAAAATTCAAGCCTATTTCCATCTATGGAAATCCACTGGCTTCCCTTTAAGTTTGTCTCTTAGTTCAACCAACCTCACTGGTTTGTTCTTATGGGGATTAAAATGAAGGATTATCCCCATATATGTCACCCTGAACTCTTGGAGAAAAATAAGAATATAAATCTATCAAATGGCATCAGTCTGCTGCAGCAAACACTGACAATAAATCTAATCACGCCTTAAATATTAACCTCTTATGCCGGCTTTGAATTTAGGGAACTGCCATCTCAGCATGACTGAAAGGCAAAGGAGACAGTACAAGATACAACTCACTACAAGATACAACTCACTACAATTTGTCCACCTTGGGTGTGGGGTGAGACCACAATTAACCATTATGTTCAAACTGGACAATTAGAAAGCTGCAATGAGTGTCTGAGAAAACAACTTATTGGAAATCAATGTATTCACTGATAAAACATTATCAGCAAACATCTTGTTGACCAACAAAAATGGTACTCATTAAATTAGTACCGTTCCATCTCTAAAAATGGATGGTGTCATTTCTCTAAAGACACAATTAAAAAGTCAACAAGACAAAGAACAACAACAACAAAAAAAAAAAAACCAGTGTGGAGATGAGTTGGTTCTGCTTTGTATTATTTTTGAGGATTACTCTCATTGCAATAACAGGGCAACAGTCAATGTGGACATATTCTTCTCTATTCTATCTGGCTTTCCAACATGAATGCCCCCAGGCATGGTTACTGATTTTTTGTCTGCAGTGAGAATATATGATACCAAAACACTATTTTAAGTTACTGCAATCTGCTCTTCTATAAACCTCACTGGCTTTTTTCTCGGATCTGGCTTCTGAAACATGACATTATCTGCAATTTGGTGATAAAAGTTTTCTTTTAAATTTCCCCTTGTCTGGAAATATTTATGGTAATGCCACAGCTCTGTTTCTTCATACCCTCCACCACAGTTATGTAAACACTGCATACAGAACATTTTTGATAAAGCCCACATTGGCCTAAAGGAACTGTGCATTTAAATAGGAGATGTCTGCCATGATATATATACATATACTGTCTTCTAGCCATGAATACAAATGCTATTGTGCTTTCAAAAAGCCTGGTCAGATAACCATATTAAAAAAACAACTATCTTTTCTCTAAAGCCTCCATGGTCAATAAAAACATCTCAAAGTTCCTTATAAAATGACAATAAAACCCTCAAGTTGGCAACCTCTAAATGTACAACATTGGAAGAGCAACAAAAAATGATTACAGGGTTGAAGGCTAAAACATACGAACAATGGTTACAGGAATTGGGCATGTCTCTATTGAAAAGAAAGACGAGGGGATGGCATGATGGCAGTGTTCCAATATTTGAAGGACTCTTACAAAGATGAGGGGATCAAACTATTTTCCAAAGTACCAAAATGCAAGACAAGAAACAATGGATGGAAACTAACCAAGGAGAGAAGCAACCTAGAACTAAGGATAAATTTTCTAACGGTGAGAGCAATCAACCTATGCAATAGCTTGCCTTCAAGTTGTGGGTGTTCCATCACTGGAGCCTTTAAAAAAGAGACTGGACAAACATTTGTCTGAAATGATATAAGGCAGTGATGGTGAACCTTTTAGAGACCGAGTGCCCAGACTGCAATCCAAAATCCACTTATGCATCATCGTTGGGTGCCGGGTGGGTATGGCCCATTGGCTGAGTGTGGCCAATTGGGTAGTTGTGGCTGCGGTGGTAACGGCAGACTGGGTGGGACTAAAAAGTTCAATCAATCAACTCCAACTTTGCAAGATCTTTTTTTCCCGCCAGAAGTTGAAATTGACTGATTGAATCTTTTTTTTTTTTTTGCACATGGCAGCGGAGGCCTAAAGTGAAACGGTTTTATAAAACCCAGCTGAAGGCCTAGGACTAGGGCGACGGCACGCGGGCCCACAGAGAGGGCTCTGAGTGCCGCCTCTGGCACCCGTGCCATAGGTTCGCCACCACTGGTATAAGGTCTCTTGCTTCAGCAGGGGGTTAGATTAGAAGACCTCCAAGGTCCCTTCCAATTCTATTATTCTATGTTCTACTGGAACTCCAATCTCCAGAATTCCCAGCCAGCATGGTCAAAGCTACCTTATTTTTCTACTTTTCTTGTCATCCTGTGCATAGTGTCACTTGCCACAAACCTTCAAACCTTCTCTGCATAAACAGAATTAATCTGTCCCATCTCTGGGACATTGGTAAAGAAAAAAGTAGAGTTTCCACTCAAATGCAACCTCAATGCATATTGAACCAATATGCAATCCAAAAGTGCCATTCAAAATTCAGAGACCTCTGTTTTTCAGAGCAGTTTGCTAGCAATTTAAATCAGTATATTAGT